TGATTAAAATAACCATTGTATGTTAAATCAAATTAAAATTTGACCCGAGAAGTTATATAGAGTGAGACAATTTTAATATTTAACATTGGATTTGGACATTTGGTAGCCTTTAAAAGCAAGTTACTCTTTTGTTTTAAATAGTACACCCAGTATATTATTCCGATATTCGATGGGGAATTCATGTCTCTTCAAAATACTATTAAGGTTGCCTACCCCTCAAACAAAGAATATCCTAGATATTTTAATTTATATAATTTACTGTCAGTAGATCTTTATTATATATTTGATAAAATCTAGGTAGCTGGGATATGTCTGATATTACTTCAACATAGCTGTCAAATTATTTCAACTTTAACAACTAATTATCCTTTTGTGTCAGTTAAAATAAAAAATAAAAGAAATTCTAAGAAATTTGCCGAAAATGGAAACTTATTCTACATCATATAGAATTGATATGATTCTATTAATTGGTGACCGCCATATAAAAAAAGGATATAAAAAATACAGATCTACTGACACTAAGTAAAACATAAAAATTAAGATATCTAGGAAAATATTTCTGTGAGGGATAGGTAACTTGAAGTATTTTGAACAGACTTGAATTATCAATTGAGTATCACGAATAATATATTGGCTGCCCCCCCCCGGTTTACAACAATTATACGCTTATATCTATCTTCAATACTAATTTTGTCTTACCCTGTATATTGCCATCGGATTGAATTCATATTGTGGCAAAGTTTCTATTTAAAATTTATAGAACATTCTAAATGTAAATAAAAATAGTCCTATGCTAAGTGAGTTTTTTTAATATACACATAAAACATCATCGACGCGAAGAATAGTACGAGTATATAAAAGTTTATTATTTATACGATTTTAGTATGATCGTAAAAATGTATTTAAACTTTAACGACTGGCGTTCAGTTGGTACTGCTATCAACCCATCCTTGCCAACCATCCCATATTATTATACGTGTTCTACTGAAAACTGAAAACTATAAAATAAGATGATGTATCTTTCGTAGCTTGCTTTATATTTTACGGTACGTATTCTGTTGTATATGTAAATCCTCCCATTACCAGTTTTACGATTTAGACTATTAAAGAGAATTAGATTTTCTTACTTTCTCACAAAGACATTGCCATATGCCAGACATACAGTATTGACAGAATTATGAGAGTAACTAGTGAAAACAGCAAAAAACCTATCACAATGGTTTCTTTAACTTTTTCATCTGCACTGGATTCGTCTCTTTGAGCTCTCATTGATTTTTCTTATATCGATACTTTAATTGTCGTTTTTTGACGTTTTTATGTCAATGTCAGAATGTCACCTGCAATATACAGGGTTTCCCAATATTCCGTTCATAGAACAGTCACGTATTTTTGGAATCAAAATAAGTTCATTGAGAAAATTACGTCTATACAAAAAGGCCTACGTTGGTCCGTTAGAGGGCATCAAACTTTAAAAAAATAATCACATTCTTTAAGATATTTTAAAAACCGTTATTTCTATTTGAATGAGATATTGTGTCCCAGCCGAGATTCGATTTTCAAAGGATTTTCACAAAAATCAAGGAAAAGTAGGAAAATACTACCGATTCTATAGTAAAATAGTCCTAGCATTTACTACATTTTCTGTCTCTTATAAAAAAACGCCACCGCGCATACTTTTTTAGAAAAAAAAACATTTCTCCGAAGTTGACTTACACAAAATGTTTCTTATCATATCAAGCTATGCAGTAACAAAAAATCTAGTATGAACTAGATCTATTATTATTAGATCTAGTTAATGAAGATTATTTTATGTTAATATCACAAATGATATTTGACAATAACTTTCATAAATTTTAAATTAATTAATGTTTGGGTTCATTTTTGATTCACCTCTAACGGACAAATGAAGCACTTTTGTATAGGGGTATAGTCTGTCCAACGAGAAGATCCTTGACAGTGATAGATGTGTCATTTTAATCAAAATTAAAGTAGTTTATTTTATTTTACAAACAAATAAGTTGGTACAACTGGAACGCATAGCAGGAAATATTTAAAACTTGATTGACAAGTGATTACTTCAAAATATTGCGAAAAAAAAAACTGTATAAAACTGAAAAAATGTAATCGAGTTATTTTATTTAATAAAAACGGTATGTGTTAATACAAAACAAACAAGAACAAGACACCACATACCAAAAAAATAAAAAAAGAACTATTTTTAACTTTCAAGCTTTATGAAACTACCTGCATTTATGATTATATTTATCAATATAACTTATGTACAAATACAAATTTGTAATATTCCACAGAATAAATAAAAACAACATAGGTAAATAAAACAAACTATTTTATTAATAATAACACTTACCAAATTTTATACCTTAAAGGTTGGTTAATTAACTTTAATCTTAATTTTTTTAAACCAGTACCTTTTGACATTATTTCTCTGCAGTACTAAAATCCATTCTTTACCTATCGTGTGATGTCGACATTTTATAGCTACTCCAGTTTTTAGTGCCAGTTCAAATCGTCAAGATATTGTTATAAACCTGTTTATTTGTTTATATACCGTCATTGAATTATCGCTAAGCAAGTTACTGTGGAGCAGTGCATAAGGAGTCGGGCTAGAAGCGAGAGAGAACCGGAGTTCGAATCTCGGCCGGGACATAACTTTTTATTTATTTTTTAAATACTGTTGTATTCTATAGTTTATTTTTGTAGTATAAAAAAACTATTTATTCTGTGATTTTTTAATCTCCGGTATTAATATAAATTGACTGTTGGTACAATACCTCATTTAATATGAAATAATATTCTACTTTTTGAAATGTATCGGACCCTAATTGTACCTAAAAGTAAAATATATTTTTAGAGATATACCATATTGTAAACTATTTAATATTTCAGTCACTTAAAAAAGTTAATTTGCATTGAATAATTGCCTACAATTAAAGGAAATTTGAGCTATATAATCCTTTTGATGGGCAGGAAATATTTAAAACTTGATTGACAAGTGATTACTTCCAAAATATTGCGAAAAAACTGTATAAAACTGAAAAAAATGTAATCGAGTTATTTTATTTAATAAAACGGTATGTGTTAATACAAAACAAACAAGAACAAGACACCACATACCAAAAAAAATATAAAAAAGAACTATTTTTAACTTCTTCAAGCTTTATGAAACTACCTGCATTTATGATTATATTTATCAATATAACTTATGTACAAATAAATTTTTGTAATATTCCACAGGAATAAATAAACAACATAGGTAAATAAAACAAACTATTTTATTAATAATAACACTTACTCAAATTTTATACCTTTAAAGGTTGGTTAATTAACTTTAATCTTAATTTTTTTAAACCAGTACCTTTTGACATTATTTCTCTGCAGTACTAAAATCCATTCTTTACCTATCGTGTGATGTCGACATTTTATAGCTACTCCAGTTTTTAGTATGTGTTTAGTATGGTCCTACCACATGGTACAAAGAATACAAGGTATGATATTGCGAAGGTTGGTTGCTACGTCACAGGTGATAACAGGCGCTATTGGTCAGCACGCCTCGCGCGCCAGTTCAAATCGTCAAGATATTGTTATAAACCTGTTTATTTGTTTATATACCGTCATTGAATTATCGCTAAGCAAGTTACTGTGGAGCAGTGCATAAGGAGTCGGGCTAGAAGCAAGAGACCGGAGTTCGAATCTCGGCCGGGACATAACTTTTATTTATTTTTTTTAAATACTGTTGTATTCTATAGTTTATTTTTGTAGTATAAAAAAAGAAAATAATGTGTAAAAATAATACGAAAAATCATGCCAATTGATTCAAATGTTTAAAGCGTTATTTTACAAAAAAAAGTGTTCATTGAGTTGAGTCATTGTTTTGTATCTCGTTTTTCTAGAAATAAACATTAATATTTAATTTTCAAAGAGAATAATCACAAAAATAATTCGGACAAGGTGGGTTTTGTGGCAGTATGATACCGTATGATCGAGAAAGAACGGCGTCAGCGTTGGCTTTGAAATGAAGATCGCTGTCATTTTATATGTAAATTTATATGGGAAAGTCATCGATCGTCGTTTCCCAGCCAACTGGACGCCGTTTTTTTTTCGATCATACGGTATTATACCGTATGATCGAATAAAAACGGCCTCAGCGATGGCTATGAAATGAAGATCGCTGTCATTTTATATGGGAAATGTCATCGATTGTCATTTCATAGCCATCGCTGACGCCGTTTTTATTCGATCATACTGTACTTGTGTAAAGGGGCCTAGGAAAAAATGCAGGATTTGCAATAAGTAATAAGGATTTTGCTGCAGTAACCTAATTTGTAGTGAATTTTTTATAGGAATAAGCGACTTTTAACTGCAGTTTGGGACCCTGTTTATGTAAATTTCAGGGTCCCACTATAAGCTTGACGCTGTCATGATTTTATGATTCAGCAATTTTATTTTTTTTCAATACAAACCTTCATTTGAAAATGTAGACAGAATATAATAAAAACAATTTGACTGAAATAAAATAACATTTTATTTGTTATTATAAATATGTAAAAATTATACATATAATCCTAGCAATGTGATATTAGGTACAAAATCTAATACAATTACTTAAATGTAAATGATCCTAAAATTTATTAATACAAATGAAAAATTAAAAAAAAAGAATAGATAAATATATATCATCTAACTAAACTTACTTGCTAATTAAAAATATCTAAAAAAAAATCTGTATTTAAGAACCTATCGTATTTAGAAACATATCTATATAAAATAAAATCTGCTTCAACTTCTTTTAAAAAATACATAGTGTTGTATTTGAAATAACAAAGTTTTTATGTAAAGTAAATACTTAAAATAGACCAGCAATTTTTGATACCCCTCTATACATTTAAGGATGCAATACATTTTTTTAGTAAAGTTTATTTCTCTGGCTTCAAAGTCAGCACAAGAATTAACTCTTAAAAATTAATGTACAGGATGTTGACAAACTTTGTTATTATAACATGCATATTTAAATGTATTTAAATATCTCAAAAACCAAACCTTTTAAACATATTAAACCCTTATAATAAATACCTTATTTTATGTCCAAGAATCCCAAAGTGAAATAAAATACCGTGTGTTCCATAAGAAAAAATATAACTTTGGTATGGATCTTAGTCCTGACACACCCTGTACATTTTAAAATAATTTTAAATTAAGTACATTGTCTTTCCACATATACCCATAAAATATTTTGTTTCTATATCTTTACGTTTTCGTATAATCAACCAAGATGAATGAGGTGCGCCACCCTGTATTCAGCCTTGTGTTTATAAAATATTTTACTGACCTTCAGATGTAACTTCCTTGGATGTTGATGGAATAGCGATTACATCTGGTGAAGTAGATTCCGAAACAGCTGAAAACATAAAAAAATATTTATTGAAAATTGGAATTCTATACCCTATATCGGTATGGCAGTTCAGATTTATATTCAGCATTGTGTTTAAAAGGTAATAGTATTTTACTCACCTTCAGATGTAACTTCCTTGGATGTTGATGGAATAGCAATTACATCTGGTGAAGTAGATTCTGAAACCGCTGAAAACATAAAATAAAATATTTATTGAAAACTGGAATTCTATACCCTATTGCATTGTGTTTAAAAGGTTAAAAAAAATAGTATTTTACTCACCTTCAGATGTAATAGGAACAGCAGGAATAGTAGCTTCAACTTCCATCATGGAATTGTCTACAAAAATATATTTATTTAATTTTTTTGAGCATAACACAAACACAATTTTAAGAGGCAAAATTGAAAGCTAAATGTTATTGTCAAAAGTTTTTGTTTTTCAGTAATATAGTATTTGTCATAAAAATATTGAAAATATTACACAGAACCACCACGAACAGACTGAAACTGGATTTTCTAAATGCCTATCTATAAACTATTTTTGTTTATTTAAATGTTCGTTTGTGCAAGTGTATAAATCGATTGTGCAGATAAACAAGCAACTGATGATTTGAAAAAAATTACAAGTAAAATGAAAAACAATGCTTATGAACCCACCTGACATCAATAAAGTTGGAACAGCAAATTTCTTTAGATTTGGCTTTGAGACATTCCTGCAAACATGTAGGTTGAAAGTGTTTTCCACAAACTCTATACCCTCTATGCAAATCTATAGGTGATTTGCCTGCTTGTTGCAGTTTTAACCCATCTTTGAACATCTAGAATTTATTAAAAATATTTTCGTTTATTTAATAGAAGATTGTGCTATTACATGAGTCTGTTTAAAACTTTAGAATTTCTAAAAAATCTTACTAGATTGTTTAAAATTTAGAGGAAACATTCCTTATTGTGTAAGATAAAATATTTATGTACCTTGGATCCAATGGGAATGAAAAGAAGCTAAGACCTATATCAGTCTCCGCTTAAACAGCCGGGAACACAGCAGTAACGAAGGCCCATTTATAAACAAAATTGTCAAACAAATATATAGTCACAAAATATCACAAACATTGTTCACAAAGTAAATTAAAAATTATTTTAATTTACTTTTCCGTTAATTTACTTTTCCGCCCGTTCATATGACATTCATATTTTTAGGTTAGAAATGTTGGAGCAACGTTGTCAGTTGTCAGATTTAACAAAGAAATTCCTGAATCTTTTAATTACCATTGCAATAATAATTTTTTATATTTAGCAGTAAAGCAAAAATAGAGTGCAAAACTGACGATTTTATTTATTCTAAAATCAATTTCACCTGTTTTGGCTTAAATATTTCAATGATAATATTTTTTAACTTTTTTTGTGCAGAAAATGAGGTAAATTTGTTACATTTTGTACTACGTCGCAAAATGCTGCACTCATGGGTTGCCATGCCGCGTTTTTCGTAATAATAATGTTAATTTTTAGGCATATTTTTAATTTTCCAAATATATCAAATTCCCTTGCTAATTATGTATATTCGGTAATTCTTGTATACTTGCGTCACTTATTTTGTGAAAGAAATGCTAAATGAGTGAAGAAATGTGGCTGTGGATTATAATATAAAAATACATTTTTCAAGTATTGAGAATTATGGGTTACCTTGGCAACCTCACAAAAACCTTGCGCATGGTTTTGTGCCGCCTGCGCGCATATAACATAAAAAATAAAATCTTGACAACGGAAATCCATGGTACAAAGAATACAAGGTATGATCGATAGCGGCCCACCTCGTTCAGTTCGCGCAGATGTTCCGTGACGTCACTTAGAAATGAGGAATAAATAAAAAAAATAAAGAAAGTTGATACACAGGTTGACAGGGAGATCTGCATTGATCTGCATTTTGGGTTATGGTTAAGAATTGTTTATTTTTAAGACTTTTAGTTCGTTTAATCTAATAAATACTAAAACCAGCCAGTTCCAAAAATATATTTAAAATAATAATTAATTTATTAACATGATTTGGACTTTGGACCATAATAGGTAAGAATTAAATTCATTTCTATATTCGGTACCTATAAATTGTTTATTAGGTTTTAGTTTTATGATGTTTATGGTAAATACTCATGTTCATTGCCTCTGATTTCCACATGAGGACAGAGATGAGGATATATATGGAAAAGTAAATACAAGAGGAATTGTTACATCATTTTAAAAAAATGTTGGGAATTTTATTGTTCTCATCGAAAAGTAGAAAATGCCAATGCAGATGAATGTATTGTAATTATGATAGAAATAATTCCAAGGGTGAAGTTTATTATAATTAGTGACCTGTGCTTCTTTTTATATGTAGATGTTTCAGGTTTTGAGAATAAACTCAGAACGAAACCTAAAATTTAGAGGAAGTATTTGCATACCCAGAATATGCCCATCAAGGATTATATAGCTCAAATTTCCTTTAATGGTAGGCAATTATTCAATGCAAATTAACTTTTTAAGTGACTGAAATATTAAATAGTTTACAATATGGTAGGGTGATTTCGCCAGTAAGCCGGCCACCTCCAGTGGTCGGCCAAAAATTATTTTTATTGCTTATAATTTAAATTTCCCGCGAGTTCAGCTGCGCTTCATGGATTTTTTGTCTACTTTGACTTTCCAGGTAAATAGGTATCAATATTTCTTTCTACTGGGTCAAACCTTATCTCCTTAAATTATGCAAATTAACTGTTTCTGTCTGTGTCTGTGTGAACAAGTATTCAAAAATGGTGAAAGATCAACAATACTTTTAAAGGTACGTTAAAATATTCTAGATTAATTAACGTTGTCAGTGTAGGTTTTTAGGTAGAATATATGTTTTAGAGAATTAATAAATAGCCCCAAATATATATTTGTTCAAACTTTGGGTTAAATACAGTGGCCGGTTACTGCATTAAATTATCGTAACTAAGCTAGTTGTCGGCCACCATGGCCGACTACTAGAAAAATTCAAGGAATTTTATTTTATCTTTATCTGGTTAATAAAAAATTGTAAATATTTCTCTCATTTTTTTTCATATAGTATAGGATAGCCAAAACTCTCGTACCAGTAGTCGGCCGGACTTAAAATGAATAATAACTACTGCTAAATTTGATGGCCGATTACTGGCAACAGCAGAAATTGATGAATGTACCAGTTGTCGGCCATAAGTTTTTTAGGTGTCTGCCACTTTTTTTAGTTAAAAATTTTTAATTCCAGAAAATGATGCGCCCTAGAAAGAGAAAGTTTCATCAATATTCTGAAGCAAAAATATTGGACAGGTTGAATTCTATAAGAAACGCCACAATTCATGAAGCTTGCAGGAATTACAGTGTTCCACGTACAACTGTACAGACCGGTTTCGACGAACATTATAAGCTCCTGGCAATGGGACCTGATCCTTACTCTAAGTATTAAGAACGAGAAAAAATAGTGAATTGATAATTCAATTGGCCAAATGTGGATTTCCGATAAAAAAACAGGAACTTATTTCGACCGTGCCAAAATATTGTTTTAAAAAAGAAAATATACAACTCCATTTAAAACGGCAACCGGAAGAGAAATGGTACTCCTCTTTTCGCCGTAGACATCCCGAAATATCCGTTTTGCTGATATTATTAGTTTGTTACAAACCTATCATGAAAATAAAAATATAAGTAAATACGGGTCTGTATTAAAAGACGCAATTTCTGACGGCCGAAACCGTGGGTAAGGTCGCGGTCGACTACTAGGTCATTATGGGCCGACTACTAGAAAAGTGCTATTTCAGAAAAAAATAAAAAATAAAGAGTTTCAATATATTCTAGGCTATTTCTTTCTTACTCCCTCTCCTAGTACATGTATATGCTTGAGAAAGAGAGGTATATAATTATTTTAAAATCAGAGCGACCCAAATTATTAAAATACATAATACACAATGATCAAAAAAGGCCGACTACTGGCGAAATCACCCTATATCATTAAAAATATATTACTTTTAGGTACAATTAGGGCCCGATACATTTCAAAAAGTAGAATATTATTTTATATTAAATGAGGTATTGTACCAACAATCAATTTATATTAATACCGGAGATTAAAATAACAGAATAAATAGTTCTTTTTATACTACAAAATAAACTATAGAATACAATAAAAGTTTAAAAAATAAATAAAAGTTATGTCCCGGTTGATTCGAACCTGGTCTCGCTTCCTAGCCTGACTCCTCTACGCACCGCTCCACAGTAACTTGCCGCGATAATTCAATGACGGTATATAAACAAAAAAACAGGTTTATAACAATATCTTGACGATTTGAACTGGCGCGCGGAGCGTGCTGACCAATAGCGCCTGTTATCACCTGTGACGTAGCGACCAACCTGCGCAATATCATACCTTGTATTCTTTGTACCATGACGGAAATCCCATAAGTGAAATTTCTGATTTGTATCTGTTCTGTGCTCCAGTTTTTAGTATGTGTTTAGTATGGTCCTACCATATGGTACAAAGAATACAAGGTATGATATTGCGAAGGTTGGTTGCTACGTCACAGGTGATAACAGGCGCTATTGGTCAGCACGCCTCGCGCGCCAGTTCAAATCGTCAAGATATTGTTATAAACCTGTTTATTTGTTTATATACCGTCATTGAATTATCAAGCAAGTTACTGTGGAGCAGTGCATAAGGAGTCGGGCTAGGAAGCGAGAGACCGGAGTTCGAATCTCGGCCGACATAACTTTATTTATTTTTAAATACTGTTGTATTCTATAGTTTATTTTGTAGTATAAAAAAGAACTATTTATTCTGTGATTTTTAATCTCCGGTATTAATATAAATTGACTGTTGGTACAATACCATTTAATATGAAATAATATTCTACTTTTTGAAATGTATCGGACCCTAATTGTACTCTAAAAGTAAAATATATTTTAGAGATATATCATATTGTAAACTATTTAATATTTCAGTTACTTAAAAAGTTAATTTTGCATAATAATTGCTCACAATTAAAGGAAATTTGAGCTATAACTCTTGATGGGCATCTTCCTCTAAATTTTGGGTTTCGTTCACTGATTTATTCTCAAAACCTGAAACATCTGCTATTATAAAAGAAGCACAGGTCACTAATTATAATAAATCTCACCCTTGAATTACTTCACTAATTATACAACTTCAACCTTGGAATTAATTCTATCACAATTACAATACATTCATCTCAGATTACATTTTCTACTGTTCGATGGGAACAATAAACTTCCAACATTTTTTAAATGATGTAAATTCCTCTTGTGGTTACTTTTCCATAGATATCCCTATCTCTTGTCCTCATATGAATTCATTAGAGGCAATGAACATGAAAATTATTTTACCATAAACATCGCAAACTAAAAACCTAATAAACAATTTTATACCTGAATATAGAAATAATTTAGTATTCTTACCTATTATCGTCCAAATCCATGTTAATAGAGTTAATTATTATTTTTAACATATTTTTGGAACTGCTGGTTTTAGTAATTATTAAATTAAACGAACTAAAAAGTCTTAAAATAAACAATTTAACCATAACCCCAAAAAATATAGATCTCTGTCAACTTTCTTTTATTTTTTATTTATTCACATTTAGTAGTCACAGGTGGTATGCGCTGAACCGATCTGCCTCGCAGGATATTTGAC